GAAACCCCTTACCAGACTATTACAGAAAGACGCAGTATTTGACTTTGATAGCGAGTGTGTTAAGTCATTTGATACTTTAAAAAATGCTTTAACAACATCTCCTATACTGATCTACCCCAACTTTGAAGAGCCTTTTGTGCTTACAACAGACGCAAGCGCTTTTGCGATATCTGGCGTTCTTTCCCAAGGTCCCATAGGTAAAGATCTCCCGATAGCCTATGCATCTCGTACACTTTATAAAGCAGAAACGAGATATTCCACCATTGAAAGAGAACTTCTAGCTATTGTCTGGAGTGTAAAACATTTTAGACCTTATTTGTATGGTCGAAAGTTTAAACTTGTAACAGACCATAGACCCCTTACGTGGCTTTTCTCTTGCCGAGACACCGGAAGTAGATTAGCAAGATGGCGCCTCAAGCTAGAGGAGTACGACTATGAAATAGTGTACAAGCCAGGCAAGGCTAATAAAAATGCCGATGCCCTATCACGTATCAAATTACCCAAAACTGTTAACGCCCTTACCCATAGTGACGAAGAAGGAGAACCTTCTACCCAATTTTCCGAAAGTGAATTTGATATCTTTGCCCGCCTTTACAAAACCACATCCCTGATCGATTATTCCAAAATTCAATTTTCAAATTCCCAACTCCTAGACAAAAGTCATAAACATATCGTCACGTTTTTCAGACAAAACACTCTATCTGATCTTCACGAAAAAATTATCGAAGACATATTCGAGGAAAATCTTGATTTTTCTGCAGATAAAATTAACATCGCGTCTAGCAAAACAATTAAAGATAGGAAATGCTATATTATTCCTGTGCCGTACGATCCCGTAACTTGCATACAGCATCTTTTCTCTGTAATTTTAACCAACAAAGGTGTATTCGACCTATCCCAACAAATCTACGTTAAAAATAATTTGGACTTACCCATTTTAGAAATTTTCTCTTTTATTTTTTCGGATGATAATATCAAACTTGTCGTTTGCCAAAACGTCACCAAAACTCCTAATCCCGACGAACATCCCTTCAATATTCTTCCCTATGCTGTTCAGTGCTACAATAGCACTAGAAATAAAACTACTGGGTTTACACCATACGAGCTCGTGTTTGGCCACACCTCTGGTCGTCCGCTCGAACACGTATATTTAGAAAAAGAATTGATGTCCAAGTATGTTCGAGACATTCGGAATAAACTCGAATATTACTACAAAATTGCTCGCGTGAGAACTGATGAACAGAAGCAAAAAGCAAAAATTCGCTTTGATAGTAGAGTGTCACCCAATTTACAATCATATAAAGTTGGAGATAAAGTCTTTGTGAAACAGTCTCAAATCTCAAACAAGCTTCAGAACAAATTTGATGGTCCATTCGAAATTACTCAAGTTTTTGAAAATTCTGCGCTCCTTAAGAACCCGGAAACAAATAGAATAAGTAAAGTTAATTTTGACAGACTGAAACCATGTTTTGAGACTTAGTTTCTCTTTCAGGTGCAGTCTGCTGTTTCTTGCGGCTGTCACAGCCCAGATAGACATCAAACCGCTTAACAACACCTTAGGTATCTATTTTCATGAAGACGCCCCTCTTAAGATTTCCAACGAAATTTGGACACTTCTTGTATATAAAGATTTAGAACTCATTAAGAAAGCACTTGACGATAACAAAAATATTCTGGAACACTTATCATATCTCGTAGACAAACCCACCAATCGTATGAAAATGTTTAGTGGTGAAATTAAAACTCATACAAGTCTCCTTTATCAAATTTCTCGTTCCTTGGAATCTAAATATTACGCAATCTTCGATGACACTGTAAGCGCATCGCGGATGAAACGCGGTCTGATTAACGCTATAGGTACTGTATGGAAAGCAATAACCGGCAACCTCGATTCATCGGACGGTGAATACTATAACGATTGTATTAACAAAATTTCTAAAGATGAACATGAGCTCGAAAACCTCATGAAGAACCAAATTTCTGTTACCATGTCGGTTATCAAGAATTTTAATAACACTATTCAAAAACTTATGATTGATGAAACTACGTTTAATGAAGATATTAAAGTCATTGAAAACAAAATTTATGAAATTTCAGACGATCTTGCATTTTATGAAGCTAAATTCCAATTTTTAGAAGTTTGCGAACAATTAATGGAAAGCTACATGTTTCTGGAAGAGACAATTAATGATATTCTAAATTCAATTACTTTTGCACGTTTAAAAATAATACATCCTTCTATTATCACTCCTCAAGACTTAGTAAATTCTCTTCAAGAAATTTCTCACACTTTGTCGAGAAATAATTTACCCCTTCCGGTTAATTTAGCAACAGTGTCAGAGTACCTTAATCTTATGGAACTCGAAGCGTATCAAACTAAAACAAGAGTAGTATTCGTTCTACGCATCCCGTTATTAGAGCCCGAAATGTATACTTTATACAGAGTGATTCCTCTACCCATTCTCGATAAACGTACTGGTTTGTTTCATGTAGTCTCCACTATACAGAGGTACATTGCTAAAGATAGCGATTCTCTCTTGTACGTTTCCTTTCAAAACTTAGGTAGTTGTAAAGTTCTTCAGTCTCAGGTGAAAATCTGTTTCAACCTCTTGCCGTATCCAATAGACAGTAATGCAGTCTGCGAAGCACAGTTGTTGCGAAATCCGGTCGATCTGCCGACAGCCTGCCAAATAGCAATTGTGGCATTGCAAGATTACCAAATCCAAGAACTTGCAACCAATTTTTGGCTAATCACCATATCTAGCCCTCTGCCAATTACGATGAAGTGTGGACAACGAGAGACTACCACCAAAGTGATAAAAGTTAATTCACTTTTAAAAATGCAACCCGAATGCAGTGGCTTTGTAGGCACCACGAGATTACATTCTAGATATTCTGTTAGCACCTACAAGGATATCACATACAAAAGTCACCCTGTAGAAGTACCCTACAAATGCTGTGAACATCTCCCAGAGAAACAAAATTTACCAAAATTAAAACCGATCAAGCTAAGCAAGATCGATACTGAAGAACTCGAAATTGCCAATCACAAATTAAACCAATATTCTGAACAACTGGACAAAATTATGAACGAGCCGTTTGTTTCAAGACATCTCTCATGGTTCACGTATTTCATCATCACCCTGTTAGTTATCATCGTAGCTTTGTACCTGTTCTGCAAGTGCAGAAAACGAAGACCACTCAGCATCTGCGCATCAAATTATCCAGCCGATGGCCCATCTCCAGGAGCACCAAAAGTCCGGTACATTCCCAGACTTTTTCCTCGACGTAGACCAACCATCCAGCCACATGAAGAAGACATCGAACTGCAGTGAGTGTTCCGTGAAGTGTTTTCACTGTTCAAAAAGACATTTCCAATTTTCGTGTTATCTAGCATGTGATTTTGCCCGTACGACTGTACGATTGTATCTTATTATTTGTTTGTTCCAGCTTTGCTTTTAGATGTTATTTAGCATCGCCAATGTACCGCATTTATGCTAACAATTTTATTTTTCAGAATCTATATTTTCTGTTGTTATTTTGCAATTTTATTACTCCTACTTTTATATTTTTATATTTTACAATGTTTACAATTTACATTTCTACATTTTTACATTTTTGAATTTTTACATCTTTTACACTTTTCTAATTTTATCAAAAGTTGTCGCATGGCAACAACTTTTTGTAATGGGGGAAGTTGTTATATGCACTCAAAACAATGAACTTACTATTCCATACAATGTTGCACCAGACGCTAGCTCAGCAACAGATAACGACTTCTCGCTAACACGTTGTTTACGCTTTATTTTCTAGAAGTGCTTTGTAAGCACACCAATAGTATAAATAGGCCTTGCGCCCATGTCATGTCGTTCATTACCCGGCTAGGCACCGTAACAGTCACTTATGTAAACTTTATGTTCAATACCCGGTTAGACTCCGTAAATGTCATATTTGTAAACCTTTGTATTTTATATGGACTGAAGGTTCATTTTTTAAAAGTTATTTCTAAATCTAATGATTTAAGATATATATATATATATATATATATAGCATGGCAGGGCAAGCTCGGTTGTGCGTTCAGGAATTCTTCTCGTAACATGCGTCTGAATATTCGACAACATCCACACAAGACAAAATAGAAATGGCTGCTGGTGAAAGAAGGGACTTTTTTATTACGGTACAATATTCCCAGAAAACTATCTATAAAGAGTGTTTAGTATTTCCGTATATGCACCTGCTCCTATGTATAACAGGTGGTACCCCAAGCTGTCATGCTATATAGTATAAGGGTTTAAATAAAGGCACTGTATAGTGTTTTGGAACAACTTTCAACAAGAAATATTTGGCATTTCTGCCACAAGTCTATGTGCTAGTAGCGGAGGTCTCACGGTCAAGGTTTGAGATTTCTTTTATGGTGTATCTAGATTAAAAATATACTTCTTGCAGGTAGCACTCCCAGCTGTCACCGCATATATTATATTATAGGATTTAATTGACTCATGGTACGATCAAAGGTCTCACGGATAGAAATGATACATTTGGTTTTTTTTGTATACTTATGTATATTTGATTATTAGACCTAGTTTTTTATGTATTGATATATTTATTATTTTTGTATAATATATAGCATATATTGGCAATTTTTTTGCTCACATATTTTCAAATTTAAAAGATAAAGGTCTTATCAGTACTTATATATATATATACTTATATACTTACAATCAGTTAGAATATATAGTCAAGGAAAGTATGGGTAACAAATGGTCAATAAATGTTAATAGGTCTGCCAGATTTGAAAAAACAGTTCTGGAGAAAATACTTATTAATTAAAGGAATAATAAGTATTTCGAAAATTAAAAACACACCTCAATTTGACCACACCTAATCTATTACTTTTGAGAATTATGATACACGTATTATACATGACGGAAAAATATTGAATTAAAAATTAATTTTAAGGTTTATTACATTATACATATATGTACATTTTCAAAAATCAAATAAAAGTAAAAGTGTTTCTTTTTATTCTAAAAGCTTGCCCCCTATTTCTTTCAAGTTATCAACCCTTCTCATCGCATCGTCCATTTGCCGTTTCCTCCTATTTTTCTGTTCACCTACGCGCTTTCTGTCCTCGTCTAACTTTTTTAGAAGTTCCTCGTCTTGATGAAGAAGTTCTCGCAGTTTCTGACTCTTATCCATTTCCACTGCCAATTGTCGCTCGGTATTTTGATACCAGTTTGACTGTTCGGCTGCTTGGTGGTGGTTTTCTTTGTTCTTTCAATTATGTGCTGGTTAAACGATTTTGAAGGCGAGATGTGAGCCTTCACTGCTGGAAGCGGCGTTGTTGTAGGATTATCCGTTGTATTTTCCAACACGGCAGCTTCAGCAGGTCTAATTTGAATGAACTCCTGGAGTTCTATGTCAGTTGTCATCTGAGTCAGTTGAATTCCGTCACCTTCCAGGTCAGCTATAATTGCATCCAAATCATTAAACCAGGTTTACATTCAGCCACTGCCGCTGCTACTCGCGCTGCCCGTTGCCCTGCATTTTAAACTTCTGCGGAAGCATCGACGTGAGTGTGTGTTCACATTCAGCCTGCACTTTTCAACTCACAGCGATGGCGGACGTAGAAGTTGTTGCGGCGACAGCGTTATGTTTGCTCAGTATATATAACTATTTAAGTGTTTTGAAAAGAAATCGAATAAGAAAAAGATGCCGTCGACGAAGGAGATGGTGGATGTTAGCAATTCACCGTAATAGAACGAATAGTACTACAAATTCCCCTACATTTTGGTATTTATGTTGTTCGAGAAAAATATAAAAAATCCGTTTAGCCGTTACAGATTGAACACAACAACAAACAAACGTGTGAATAATGATCTGTTTTTACAGACGCAGTATGGATAATTTTTTCAAGGAGTTGACTTGCGAGAATTCCGCCGAGTTTTCTAACTTTTGCAGAATGGCACCTAGAGACTTCGAATTTTTCCTAAATAATATTGAACCTTTTATAAAAAAAACCAAACTAGACTACGAATACCCATACCACCAAAAATACGTTTGGCAATAACTTTACGATATTTAGCAACGGGGGATAGTTATCGAAGTCTCCACTACTTATTCAAGGTTTCCACAGCAGCTATTTCGATAATGGTTCCTGAAGTATGCAAAGCTATTAACTCTGTTCTGAAGGATCAAATTAAGGTAAGTAATAAAAGTAGGAATCTACAAAATATGTATTTAAAGTCTAATAAAAGAACAGTATTCATTAGACACATAACTTAATACAATTTCCTACATTTGGGAAGCGTTCCAGTATGCTTTTGCAATGATATTATCAATTTGTTGGTTTTGAGGTGTATCATTTGTTTCCGGGATACTGATCGGTACTTGAGAATTCACAGATCGTGATGGTTGCATGGCATAAAGTTGTGGAGAATGCATTGGAGACTGTGTTAACATTTGGCAATCGGAAAGTTGTGATTGCGACGATTGAGATGAGTAGGCACTTGATGGTCGTTCAACGGGATAAGGAATTTCTAAAAGCAAGCCATCTATTCGGTACATGACTATTTGTCGCATTGACTCCGGATATTTTCGTAACCTTTTTGCTAAAAGTTTCGCATATATATCGCACTCATCTTCATCATTCACATAATTTCTTTTTTCTCTTAATACATGGTTCAGAGTGTCCAAACTTTCAGATATTTTATTTTGTGCTTCATCTGTATTGAGGCTTGCTTTTTTATTGGTTTTGATTGGTTAGGTGTGTGGTCGCGATGAGATTGACTGTGATGGCGATGAAAGTGGTATTTCGACAGCTTGTTGAGGCTGAATTGGCGCTTGAGGTGGGGCTGGCATATCTTCACTATGTAAAGTCTGAAAAAAAGTATTATTTGTATATTTATCATATTCATATATATATATATATATGTTGTATAGTTTTTCTTTATTTTTAATGTATATTTAATGTTGTCTTTCTTGCAGTTACCACAAACACCAGAGGAATGGTTACATATAGAAGAGGGATTTAGACATAAGTTTCCACGATGCGTTGGAGCTATAGATGGGAAGCACATCGTAATTAATCGCCCAGCACACAGTGGCTCAAAATTTTATAACTTTAAGGGTACGCATAGCATCGTACTAATGGCTTTAGTGGATATTCAATACCGTTTTACTTTTGCGGACATCGGCGGCCAGGGGTTCATTAGTGATGGGGGAATTTTTCGAAACTCTTTACTTTGGCAAAAAATTGACACAAATACTATTAATTTGCTACCAGACGCCCCATTACCCGGAAGACAAACAGATGTGCCCTATGTATTTCTTGGTGATGGAGCTTTTGCATTACATAAACATATAATGAAACCTTTTCCAGGTAATCATAATAGTGGCACAATGGAACGTACTTTCAATTACAAACTTTCAAGTTCTCGTGTCATTGTTGAAAATGTTTTAACTACTGTTTTTCGAATTTTTAAAAAACCAATCGAAATT